TGGAAACCAAGCCACAGACGCTGCCTACATAGAGAGGAGAGCAGCTGGGGCCAAAAATACCCATCGGTTGTGACAAAACAGGTGCAAAATACCAGGGGCCTGATCTCAGGCCCAGTGAAGTCCATGACAAAAAAAAAGACTCTCACTGACGTCAGTAGGTGTCACACAGCACTTGCCACACAAGGGCCTCCCACAAGCATCCCTGCCAAGACGCTTTACAGCAGAGGAAGGCAAGATATGGGGCCCCTGGGCTGGATTCGACCTGCCAAGCCACTGGCTACGGCCTACAGGCTGCCCCACCAGAACCCTCAGGTACAGAGCAGCTGGCCACTTCAGGGTAGCCCCAGGCCGCTTTAAGCTGCTCCCTGTGCTCTCTGCTCCAGGTGCTGAGGAGGGTGGGGAAGGCTTAATGGAAATCAGTCAACAGAAGCTGAGAGATTTTGCTAGGGGCGGAAGTAGTGTATGAAGTCCTGGTGCCTGGAGCAGACAGCCACAGGGAGCAGCCAATCATTTTGAGCAGCCTAGGACTGCGGCAAGCTAGGAGCCTGCTTTGAGGTCCTGCAGGACTGCTGACCAGGAGCCACCTAGGTAAGCACCTCCTGGCCGCAGCCTGCCTCTAGCACCCCAGATCCTCCCTCCCCTCTGTTCCCTGCCCCAGGTCACCATTTAAACACTCTGCACTGCACCTCCTTCCCTTATGTCACAATTCCCTCCCAGATCCTGCAGCCCCTCCTATGCTCCTCCTCCAGGTCAGAATCCTCTCCTGCACCCATACACCCTCTTAGACCATGCACCCCAACCCCCTGACCCAGGTCACAATCACCTCCTTCACCCAAACTCCCTCTCAGACCCCACACCTCCTCCTGCACCCCAGTCACCTACCCCAAGCTCCTTCTGCACCCAACCTCCCTCCCAGACCCCACATCCCTTTCATAGAAAAGTCCAGCCCTTGAACATTTACCAAAATCTTGGAGTGGCCTCCCACCAAAAATTATTGCCCACCTCGGCTTTACAGAAATGCATTCCCAGCTAACTCAGTGGTGCTCTGGGGATGGAGCACCCACCAAAAAATAAGTGGGTGCTTGGCACCTACTGGTGGGCTCCTCCTCTCTCTCCCTCCTCCCAGCACCTCCCACCAGCTGCAGGCCCTGCTTCTTCCCATCTCTCCCCAATGCCTCCCACTCACAGAGGATCAGCTGTTCAGAGTATGCAGGAGATGTTGGGGGAGGGGAGGGAACAGGAAGAGGCCAAGTGAGGACTGGGCTGGGTGACATGTCTGGGAGAACATCCCCAGATGCTGGGGACCCAGAAGAAGAAGGGGGCAGGACCAGCCACTTCTAGCAGCCAGGATGCTGCTCTGCAGCATGAGAACAGGAAAGCTGTTTTTTGTTCCATGAATTATCCAAAAACTGCTAAAAGTTTCCAGTTTAGAGTCTCTCAGTTTGCTGACAAAAGATAAGTTTTCAAGGGACGCTGATTATTCCCGTAAAAATGTTAATTTCCTTGAAAACCACATTTTCTGACAAAAAGGTTTCATCAGAAATTTTTCTACCAGACCTAGCAGCAACATATTTAGTTGACATGCCCATAGCAGTCTGTATGGGTGCAGGTATATTCCCATATGTTTATGTGTATATAAGTAACAGGATGCCATATGACCATAACACCATGACAATAGGTATCTCAGATCACTTTTGTTCCTGGAGTCAGTCTTTGGCCTTCACGTCTTGAGACCACAAGTGTGCATAGGATTCATAGACCTGCAAAGTTACTGTGCACCAGTAGCTGTCCTTTTGATTTTCTTTAGGGTAGGGGGAGTTTTAGCTCTGGGATGAGCTCTCCACTTTTCTAGAGCTAAAATAATATAAGAACTGATTTTCCCTTCTAATTCTAGCATCCAGAAAGAGAAATACTATCAGGTGATCAGAAATGATGTTATATTTGCCCCACAGATGACTTCATGAGGCTTTAATAACATTTCATGAAAACCCAAATGAGTCACTCGCCTGCCCCTATTTAAAACCTGCTAGAAAGTATGTTCATGTCCAAGAGAAAGAACCCATCAGTAGAGAGGTAACAAAATTCTGCAGGCCCGATTCTGAACTTTCTGTTAGATGTAAATTCAAGTTAGTGAGGATAAAGTTGGCACAAATGAGATCAAAATTAAGCCCAGTATCTCTTTTCTATCATTTTAACTAAGCACAAATCATTGTAGAATTCAGGAGCTCAAATACACCTTCAGAACAGCTCGCTGTAACATGGACTTTGCTGACCCAACAATCACTGGTCAGGCAGTCAGTTCTATTCAGAGGAGAGGATTGGCAGTGGTGCTTTTCAGTTGTAGCACTGGTATTTTAAAGGACATCTTTGCAAATGAAGATCAAGTTGTAAAGATTCTGGCTTTGAATCAGTTCCCAGTTTCACTGCGGCAGTTTGGGTGTGACTGGAAGCAGATCCTAGTCCTTACTCAAGTACTTCAGAGGGATGGCCGAGTTAGTCTGTAACTGGAAAAACTTAAAAAACCACAAATAGTCTAGCAGAACCTTAAAGACTAAAAAAACCACATAGATGGTATAAGCTTTCATGGGCACAACCCACGTCTCCAGATGAATGGAGTTATTAAAGGTCCAATTCCAAAATAAATAGGGAAGGGGGGGCAGAGGGGAGAGAAGGAAAGGAAAAGGGGGGGGGGAGTCAATTAGAGTATTCAGGTTACATGAAGCTGATAGAGAAGGTGCAAATTGTTCTTAAATACCCATGTTTGGGTGGTTAAGTCATTAGAATGTGGAAGGTCATGTGCTAGCCAGGTAATGTCTTTATTCATAATTTTGTGAGGGGGTCCCAAACCTGAAGTTAAGTTCCAAGTCTTCCCTGTGTATTTGGCTTGTGGAATTGGCCTTAAACAACACTGTAACTTTGAGATCCATTAATGTCCAGGTGGGTTAAAGTGTTCTCCAACAGATTTCTGTATTGCCTTTTCGGATATCTGATCTGTGTCCATTAATTATTTCCCGTAGAGATTGTAAGGTTTGGCTAACATACATGGCAGAGGGGGCATTGGTAGCATTTGATGGCATAGATCACATTAGTGGCTGGGCAGTTAAATGAACCCCTGATATAGTGGCTGATGTGGTTGGGTCCAGTGATTAAATTGCTTGTGTAGAAGTGTGGGCAGAGTTGGCACCAGGGCTGATTGCAGGGGAGGGTTCCTGGATGATTATGATGGAGATGTGTTCCATGGTTACTGGAAAGAATTTGTTTGAGGTTAGGGGGTTGCCTGTAAGCAAGAACTGGTCTTTCCACCAAGGTCTGTGAGAGTGAGGGGTCATTTCCCAGGATGGGTTGTAGATTGTTGATAATGCGCTAGAGGGGTTTGAGTTGTGGGCTGTAGGTGATGCCAAGTGGAATTCTGTTGTTTTTTCTTCTTGGCCTGTCTTGAAGGAGTTCGTGTCTGGGTACTCTTCTGGCTCTGTCCATCTGTTTTTTCACTTCTCCGGGTGAGTATTTCAGTTTTAAGAATGCTCTATATAAATCCTGTAGGTGTTTGTTTCTGTCTGTGGGATTGGAGCAAATCCGGTTGTATCTTAGGGCTTGGCTGTAAACAATAGATTGAGAAATGTGTCAGGGATGCAAGCTAGAGGCATGAAGGTAAGTGTAGCAGTCGTAGGTTTCTGGTATAAGGTGTTGGAAATGTGTCCGTCATGTAATTGTACTGTAGTGTCAAGGAAGTGGATTTCTCATGTGGACTGATCCAGGTTGAGGTTGATGGTGGGGTGGAAGTTGTTGAAATCCTTGTGAAATTACTCACATAGTTTGCATGGAAGATAAAGCTGCTATTTTGGTCATAGGGAAGATGGATGGGAGAAGCAACATTTCAGATGCCATGAAATAGTTCTCCTGGAGAAAGCAAAAGCTCTTACCTCACCCTTTTGCATTTAGGACCCTGAATCCTCTGTGTCTGCTGATTTTCCCTGGGAGCAGGATCAGAACCCACATGGTATGCAGCAGCACTCGCAGCCCAACCTTGTGCCACTACAGCATCTTAGGACAAAGCACTGATACCAGTTGTGGTGGGGTGTCTAGCCCAACGTAGCTTGGACCAGGGGTCAAGTCCTTCACAAACAGGCCCAGAGGCCTAGTCCTTTAAACACAGGCCCTGAGGCCTAGTCCTTTATAGTATCCGCACTTACTCCGGGTTGTGGGAATCAGGGGTAGGGGGGGCCGGGCCCACCCTCTCCACCAGGCCCCAACCCAGGGCCCTATCAGTGGTGGGTGGTTTTATGCCTAGGCTGCCCTGGGAGCATGCCCAGCAGGACCACGGGGGAGGGGCGTACTCCACCCAATGGGCATGCTTGTCCCCCTCCTGCTCAGTGCGGGGTGGGCAGACCCCGTCGCACCAGTACAAAACAATCAAGGAGAGCATCTTAGCCTGAAACTGAACAGCCTTTACATTTCTGGGTTTGAATAAGAACCAGGGATTCTCTACATTACAACATTTACATGCTTAGTTCGGTATACAGCACAATTACAGGGAGTAAGCAACAAAAGGCATGAAGACTCAAATAGTACTCTGCTGGGCACGTGCTAAAGAAACCTAGAGATTACAGACTTGAATCTCAAACTCCGTTAACAGGCTGTTAATGATTTGCTCAGGATGGCTCTGGAAGGGTTTAAGAGATGGACTAGAATCCTATTTATCTAGTCATTTAGGGTCAGATCCTCAGATGATGTAAACAGATGTCAAAATCAATGGAGTTTACTTTAATTGGCTTGTGCACATTTATAGGGTTGAAGATCAGGTCCCTCGACCATGCTGAGTTCCTAATAAGGAGGATTCTTTTATTCCATAAATCACTGAAAACCCCTTAAACACAGAGCTCCTTTAACTCACCTTCCACTCAGGTTGTCATTCTGCTTCCCTGAAATGCAGACAAATTAACTAGCATTATTTGTAAGGAATTACCCTCCTTGGAACAAGGGGAACAGGAAGAAAAGGATACATCCCCAGGATAACTGCTTCAAGGCATTTGATAGGTAAGGACTCCCTGGTCATTTCTTTTGCCGTCTCCATTAACCTAGGATAGAAAAAAAATTGGTCAAAATAGTCAACAAAAATTAAATATTCCTCTTACCTTATCCCTCTGGTTTTATGGGGCCCAATTGTCCTTTCAAGGATGTAACTCCTTTGATTCCTATGGAATCACTCCTCATTTACAAGTAGGTCTTAATCTACAGGTAGCCAGGACTGAGTGGCAGCAGATGTATTAGAGAAACCAGATATCTGTGAAGGGTCACCTTTAAGTAATTGCTTTTGCTAGTTCCTTTAATTGCTTTTCCCTGTTTGCCCTCTGTCATGTTCAGGAGAACCGTTCACCAATGGAAACCAATGAAACTATTCATGGAGAAAGGATCTACCAAAATCTGAGCCTCACACTAATCTCTACTCTGGTCATCTGAAGCTCATGATCCTATCTACATGTTCTGTTAGTCTCTAAGGTGCTGCAGGAATATTTGTTGTTTTTTCAATTTGACTAATCTCTACAGAGAAGGTACTATATGTCATGATATGTTTGCACAAGGCATAGGGACTCTAGGTGCTAGTGTAATGCAAATTACCAACACTAGCATAATGCATTCTTATGTCCGTAGTACAACAGGCACGCTTGACATTCTGATTTCAAAACAAATGCCAGTGATACATTCTAATTATTAACAGCAGCTCTGCGTTCATCAGGAAAAGTTGGTACATTTTCAGGTAAGCATTTGTGTCTCCTACAGCAGAAGCATCTGACTATAGAGATGCCTGCCAGCAGAGCCCCAGCTGCTGAGATTTAAAATCCCACCCCGAGGAGTTCACTGCATTCCCAGCATCTCCTCTGCAGAAAGCAAGATCCCCAAAGCAAGAGTTAAAGCAGAGCTGCACATCTCATGACAGCAGGCGCTTGCACAAGTAACCCCACATGCACCCCATGAATGCACATTCTAAAGCTCCACCCCCCTCAGCAGCCCCAAATCCTCTACAGTTCTTGGGGAATGGAATGGGGGGGCAGCATCCAAACTGTGTGCACTCCCTTCCAGGTCCCTATGAGACAGCTACAAGGAGACCCCATGAAGCTGGGCTCCAAGGCCCAGAGGGCAGGTTCCCCAAACCTTGCAGTATCCCACACGCAGTGCTTCTGCAACATCCAGTGCCTTCTGCCCCAGAGGAGGAACAGGCCCACTGACGGGGTGGAGGGAAGAGGAGAGGGGGAAAAGGGGGCAATTGCCCCGGGGCCCAGAGATTCAAAGGGTCCAGGGCTCACAGCCAGAGCCTCAGGTTCTTTAAATCACCACCAGAGTGCCACGTTGGGAGCTCCATGCAGCTCTGAGGGCTGGAGGAGGCCCAGTGCCAAACTCCAAGTGGCTCTAAGGGATGGCTGCCCCGATCCCTGCTTTTCTGACCGAAGCCCCACTCCTTCCAGGAGCTCAGAGTTGGCCCCTGTGACCAGGCGGCCCCGCCCTGCACTCAAGCCCAGGGAAACCACCTGGAGCCGGGGGCGGAGAGGGCCCCACCCACACAGCCCTACTGGGCATGCTCCGAGGGGAGCCAAGGTATAAAAGGCTGCTGGCCTGCTCAGAAGGGGCAGGCCAGGGCCTGAGCTGGAGCTAGCGCCCACCGGCCAGAGAGGGAGTCGCCAGGACTGCTGAACATGCTGCTGTCAGGCCCCAGCCGGGCTCGCCCCCAGTGACGGAGCTGCCGGCTGAGCCCCCCGTGACCCAGGCACCGGACCGGACGCTGCCGACCCTGACGCTGACGGGGGAAGTACCAGTACAGCCACCCGACCAACGCCGATAGGTGGGACCACGACGGGCCGGGGGCAGGAAGCGACCCAGGGCAGGGAGCTGGAAAAGCCCCTGAGGGCTGCTGGGAGGAGCCCCCTCCGAGCCAGTGGTGGGAGTCACCTGCCACTCATAGGGCCCTGGGTCAGGGCCTGGTGGAGAGGGAGGGCCCGGGCCCCCCACCCATCCTTCCCTGAACCCCAGTGAGTGGGGAGCTCGGCCTGAGGACTAGGCCGCAGAGCCAGCATACTTTGGGACTAGGCCTGTGGGCTGTATTACCCCTAAAAGAGGGGCATTGCACTTTGGGGCTAGGCCTGGGTGAGCTGAACTATGCTCCGGATGGGGGCGGCGACCTCAAACCAGGGGGGAGCCCCCCGACAGCCTGGAGTGCCCTGAATGCCCACACTCGGCACATCACAGCACTCAGCAATTAGCCTGGCTGCACTTGCCACAGGCTGCCATCTGGGGGGGTTAATCGGGGGGCTGCAGGAGAGCTTCCACCCCGAGGAGCCTGCAGAGATATGAAGAGAGGCTAAAGAGACTGGGACTTTTCAGCTTAGAAAAGAGGAGACTGAGGGGGGATATGATAGAGGTCTATAAAAGTATGAGTGGTGTGGAGAGGGTGCATAAAGAAAAGTTATTCATTAGTTCCCATAATAGAAGGACTAGAGGGGTATGTCTACACTACAAAGTTAGTTCGAACTAACGGACGTTAGTTTGAACTAACTTTCCTAGGCGCTACACTAGCGCTCCGTTAGTTCGAACTTAATTCGAACTAACGGAGCGCTTAGTTCGAACTAGGTAAACCTCATTTTACGAGGATTAAGCCTAAGTTCGAACTAGCTAGTTCGAACTAAGGGCTGTGTAGCCCTTTAGTTCGAACTAGTGGGAGGCTAAGGCTTCCCAGGTTTCCCTGGTGGCCACTCTGGCCAACACCAGGGAAACTCTATGCCCCCCTCCCGGCCCCGGACCCCTTAAAGGGGCACGGGCTGGCTACGGTGCCCGTGCCAGGTGCAAGCCTGCCAGCACCCAGCTAGCAGACCCTGCACCTGGCACGGCACAGAGCCACCCACCCGATGCC